CTGTTTGGAACGAAGGTATAGAGCTAGTCCACCTGTAATTTGTCTAGAATTTTAGACTAACTTTTTGATGAAGTAATTACTTGGAACGTCGCGGGAACTGCAACATTACGAACTCACATTTCTTCATCATGAACTTGATGAATCAATAATTCTGCGTAAAACGGAGTTGAGTCATCTTGACTGGGGCATCTATAGTGAGGTCAGGTCGTGTTTTTCGAGTACAGAGTACAGAGTTTTTCATTACAGAATGAAAGTCAGTGTGCAAATACGTGAGGTATTATGGGTTACATTTTCAGGTTCTCATGTGCTACAGGGGATTTGAAACGTTTTCACGGGACCAGATTGAAAAAAATGAGAATTTTCATAATTCTGTTTATTTCGCAGGCGATCTAATTACGGGTAATATTTTCAACTTCTCATTAATTGTTACCGGGGGATTTGAAACATTTTCACGGGACATAATAGACTCTAGTAGTGGCTAGGATACCTGGCTTTCACCCAGAAGGCCCTGGTTCAATTTCTGGCATGGGAACACGCTTTTTTCTAGTAACTTTGTTTTTCTTGGCAGAATATACTGCATATCAGGCTTGACAAATATTGGTGGTGCAATTGTTTCCTTGAATATTGAAAACATAGTATAGTGGAAAATTATTAGTTTTGAAAAAGTATCTAGAAAGAATTCTTTTTAACAATTGGATTTTGTATCCCTCCATCACAGTCACTCCCATGTGGTCTAGTGGCTAGGATATCTGGCTTTCACCCAGAAGGCCCGGGTTCAATTCCCGGCATGGGAATATATTTTGTTTGGTGGCTTTTTTCATTTTCTCTATAGAAAATGCATTATACAGTATCGAAATTCTGGCGAATTTTGTTTGCGTGGCATATTTTTAAATGAATTATTCGTGATTTCTTCAGTCAAAACACTTCTCTCCCAAAAGGGAACTGAAGATGAGTTCGATAGACATTTTGCGAACAATCACTCAGACAAAAAAAAGAATGCGTTTGTTGATCGCTGTTTCCTTACTTTCCCAAGCAAGTCAGCTTCATTTAAATATCTGACAACTCATCAATGATGGAAACGTCGTCCAGTGCAAGAGTTTTCAAGTATAAAAAATATCTGGCAAGCATTCATCATGAAAATCTAATTTTGTCTTTGCTGTACTCCAGTAGTAGTTCTCCCATGTAGTCTAATAGAAGAACGAAAAAATTTCATAATTTTCTTAAAATTTCTCTGGGGATCTAATAATGGGTAACATTTTCAGCTTCTCATAAAATGTTCCCGGGGATTTGAAACGTTTTCACGGTACGTGATGGCGAAAAACGAAAATTTCCATGATTCTTTTATTTATTTCGCAGGCGATCTACAAAGCATTTTTGGACAAGGATAGATGTGCAGTTCCGATTTCAGAACGTCTGCGAATCAAGCTCGAAGCCTATCTATCCGGCATCGACGAAACCGGGGAAGGATTCTACGACCTGAAAGTCAATACTGAAAATTTGTTATGCGCCAGCGTTTTCCGGGATTTCTTGGGCAGTTCGGAAGGTATAAACGCCATGAGTATCTTGTCGGAAAGTCAACAGTCTGGGGACGACCTGGATGATTTGAGTGTGGGTGAAACGTTCGGTTTGGGTAGTGGGAAAGTGAGAGGCTCTAAAGCAAGTTTAGTGGAGAGCGAGAAGAACTACGCACAATCGCAATTGAATTTGTTGGAAGAGAAGCTGAGTAAGAAGGTCAAGGAGCTGGAAGCTGCGAAAGCTGGTGGCAATGGAAGCAAAACTGCTGTCGGTTTGGAGAAGGACGTCAAGTGTTTGACTGACGATGTCCAGCAGCTCAGTTGGTGAGGATCTCTCCCATTTTCTGAATCCGTTTCAGGCAATTCCTTCAACGACAAAAAAAAAATTGTATTTTCCTTAATTTTCTGAATTGCGAGGGTTGGATCCTGGGTTTTCCCCATTTTTTCTATTGTCTATGACGGATTGAGATGAACTTACATTTTACAAGGTTATGTCTGATCATTTTCTGACCATTGCTCCGATTCTTGCCGAGCCTGATAGAAAAAGGAGGATTTTAAGTAAGGAAACGAAGCTTACCTTCGCCGCATTTCTCTATTTTATGAATTAACCTTCAGACTAATTTTTTGGAATATTTCAAGTACTGTACCATACTTACTAGAGTACCACGCGCACCTTTCCCCCCCTCAAAATTGAGAGGGAAAAAGAGGTTGCGTTTCAAAGGCAAGGATACAATCTTGAAATTCAGTATTTAAAAACAAAGTTGCGTGTCATAATTGATTCTTACTTGTATGTGAAAATTTGAACCAATTCTAAATGGAGAAGTTTTCTTTAAACAAACAAAAACTGAAAATTAATTGAATTTAGGTTCAATTCATGTCCAAATTGCAATTCTGGTGTCTCTTAATATTGAAATACAGCAAAACTTCGTTACAACGAAGCCGTTGGAACCGGGAAAACGGCTTCATTATAATGGCGATTTGAATAAAATTATTATTCGGCAGGGACATGAAAAAATACTTCGTTGTTCCTAATGTGGTAATTCGTTGTACCGAAATTCGACTGTATTGCGGTTTTTCTGTTACTAAAAAATACGGGTACCCGTCTTGGGGAATGGATTTTATCAAAATTATTGTTGGTTGAAAAATTCGGGTGCGCGCTAGAGAGGAATCAACTCTTCGGAGAAGATTTCTCATATTTCACAGCATGTGTCAAAGAAAGGTTTACATCTGGAAAATATCTCGGTCAGGTATACTGAATGTTAAGATTGCGCTAAATTTTAATTATTGAGCGAGAAAGTGTCCAAGAAAGGGCTTTCGTTCAAGGATAGCCTTAGAAGTTGGAACAGAGGCTTTTCATGGATCTCACGTGAAATTCTGATCGAATTTAAAGAACATTTTATTTTGTAGAACATTCGCTCGTTTTCGGAGTGGTTTGATTAAAATTCCCGTTTACGAGTGAATGAAAAATGAAGCGTTTATGAGAAGTGATGTGCATTTTAAACATTAATTTTTATTCCCACTTTTTGTTTCAAGTTTCGCAGCCAGATCAGCGTTATGGTCTGAACACCTCGGCCAATGGCGAGCTTGCATTCAGAGTGTGGAGGCGACCGAAGATGGCCTCATGTTCCTCCTGGTGGTTCAAAAAGAAGAGGCCATGTTGAGTCCAGTGGAAGCTCCGAATGGTCCGCCGATTTCCTCGTCGACACCCGAGACCACCGACGGCGGACTGGATGGCTGGATCGTGTCGCGGAAATTGGCGGAGTTTCATGAGCTGCGACACAGAGTCGGATTAATTGCCGGGGACTCTTTGAAATCCAAGGATCTGCCTGCTTTGGGATCTGGGAAATCGTTTTTTGGACGCGGTTGGGACCGGGCTGAGTTGGACAAGGCCCGAGCCCAGGTTCAAACCTTTTTGAATGTGAGTTTCGTGTTGAAACATTGACTGAGAATGTCTTTCGTATCAAATCTTGATTTGATTAGAGGTGATCAGGTACGGATTTTGCTTGAAAATTTCGAGTAATCAATGCATCCAAGTGAATGATGTTGTCGATGCTCCGTATTGCGTAAAAAGGGCAGCTACGTGGAATGCGAAGAGTTGTAGTGATGCAATAAAGTAGAATCTCGTTATTACGAATCAATGGCTACGGCGAATTTGTTTTTTGGCCCCTGTCCAATGGCCACTCAGTTATTTTAATTTACGAAAATGTGTTAATAACTAAGTTTTTTACGGTTCAAAATGCTTAGTTTTAATGAGATTCTACTGTATTTAAAATTGTACTGTACATTGATATTGAAGGTACATCATTGAGCTCGTGAAATTAACTTCAATGTGACGGACGTTGGTCTTCACTCCCTTTGAAGCTTATACGAAATGCCCGTATTAGAAAAATTTTATGGCAGAAAAAAAAATCACTCGCCTTACAAAAACGTGTCGCTTTGCAAATTTTTTTGCGTGTTGTCGTGCACTTCTAATTTAAATTCAAGACTTTTCCTTTGCGAAAATCTCTCACTTAGTTCTTCTCAAGTAATTTTCATTTTTAGAACCCTCATCAGTCAATCCGTCAATTGTGAAACAAGTGAAAGGACAGAAAACAGCTTGTTAAGCGGTGACATCTGGTGACTATACGTGGGAAGGTCAACTCTACATTGGATTCTTGCACACACAAAAAAAAGCAGCAAGAAATAATGATCACCTGATTTAGTCAATAAAGTGAAAAATAACGAGAGTAGAATTATAGGTGCATATTTGTTCTCATTTTTACTTGGGCTTCAAATTCTTGGGAAAGAATTGAAATTTTCTTGATGTGCTCTTGAGAGAATATGAGATTCACATACCGAAAAAAACCCCGGGATGGATTAGTTCGTAATGTTGGGGCCCCACTGTATTGTTTTCATTTGTTGTATGTGAACTTTCGGACAGTTTATGGATCTGTAACAAATCTTGTGCAAGACTAGCATCTCGTTTCAACGAATTCAACGTTGAACCTCTCCTCGTCCTGTTGACGTTTTCTCCACGCATGCGCCGCCCATAAGACAATGCCATGTTGAAAAAATGAAAACCATTAGATGTTCTCGATATGAAAAAAAAAAAATCTGATGTTTTCACTCTCAATTTCCTCTACTCATGACAACGCAGGCGGTTTTGAGGAACGAACGTTTGAGCCACAGCGAAGACGTGTTCACCTTTTTGTGCCCGGTGCCAGAACATCTTCTGCGTCCCGGCGGCAGTTGTGGCTCGTCCTCTGCCATGTTGTCTCCCGCGGAACCCGGGAAACCCGGCAAGGCGAGATTTTCCCTGTCGACGCTCTTTCAACGCGACAAGATGGACGATTTGACAGGGAAGTCGGATGAAGACGTCAATAATGGGAGCAGTAGCACGGAGCAACAAGTGGGCTTGATGGAAGGCAGTGGTGGCGGGTCTCGGGATTCGATTGCAGAGCCCCTGTATGGACTAGTGCAAGAGGTGTTCGAGGTTCAGGGGATTTTTCGATGGCTGAGGAAGACGTTGATCACGTTTGTGCAGATCACGTATGGGAGAACCATCAATAGGTGCGCTGTCTTCTTTTTTTTCTTCTTCGAGCGCCCTGTATCGTTTTGTGAGACTTGAGTTTGGATTCTTTCAATGCCAGGTACTGTTTTTCACTTGAGTAGCATGCGCACCCTTTTTTTCTCAGAAATAGAGGGAGAAAAATCGGGTGCACGTGGTCCTCAGGGATACATTTAAAAGAAAAGAAAAATCCCCAAGATGGGTGCCCCTCACACATGGAAGTATATTTAAGCAAAAAATGAATAAATGAAGAGGAAATGCGTGGTGCCAAGTCTCCTTGTCCATGTGAAATGATGGTTTAAGCAATAACAATACAGATGGACCCTCTCAACAACAATCTTGTATACAATGATTTTCTCTGTATAACAAGTATTATGTTTGATCCCATGGGGTTCTCTCCCAGTCCATGTTATAGGACAGTGTTCCCCAACCCATGGTCTGCAGCTGTAGTTGGTCTGCAGAGGTTTTCTCCTGTTTCACAGGAAATTTTCTTCAGCAAAATACGTTTATCAAAAGTGACAATGAAATCTGTTATTTTTATCTGAAATTTTGGAAAGACAAAGGCAGTTGAAATTATCTGATGAAAAATGAAAGTTGGCTTTTCTCCTGATAATGCTTCAGATAAATTTTCAACTGCCAAAAAATGTCAAATTTTGACTGAGAAACCTTTATTCCAGCCCAACTTCCTAATTTTTTTGGACATTCCACTAAAGCTACTTGCATTGGTTCTGAAGTTAGTTTTTGAAGAAACAGAAACCTTGTATATATCTGCTATGAAGTCTTGAAATTTTTTTTGAGTTGACAGAAATTGCATGAAACTTTGCCAGTCCACAAACAATTTTGTAAAATTGTCTGCAAAAAATTTTGTGGAAATTTGCTGGTTTTTGTGCCTCAAAAAGGTTAGGGAGCACTGTTATATAAGATTCTCTACAACAAATTAATTTCTTGTCCCATAAATTTGTTGTGGAGAGAGTCCACCTGGACTACCAATGTCTTTGATTTGCCATGATTTTATTCTTTCCTTCATAGGTGTCGCTTGAATCGGTGTATGTTTTCGAAGGTTTAAATTGCCGTAGATGGAGGCCAGTTCACGCTCTAAAGCCGAACCAAAAATCTCTCTGACCGAGTATCTTGATTGTTGGGAAAATATTTTATTTTCGCAGGCAAATACGGGAAACAGTGTCATGGCTGGTGTCGGATGCGATGGTCATCACGTATTGTGGGTTGGTGAAGGAAGCGTATTGGCCAAAGGGGAAGCTGGCCCCGGCTGCTCAACCAAGGAGCGATGAGCAGAAATTGAGGACGAGGTACGAGGCGAAGGAGAAATTCCTTGTTAGCGTACCTGCGGTGGTCTCAAATTTGGTGGGGCAGCAAAATGGCAAGAGAGGTGCTGTGCGGATTTTTGAAACGATTCAAGACCACCGACTCAATAAACAGTTGGTTTACGTAAGTATGACTTCGACCCCTTTCTCTGCAACTTGTGGCTGTAATAATTTATTTTCTTGAGTACCACCAGCAGCTTTAAATAAAAAAAATTGAGATTGAATAGTGGGTTTCAAATATTGGGTCAAATTATGGATGCCCTGCACACTTCAGACACATTCAATGAAAGTTTAAAAAAATAATTCCTTAGAAATTGGAATGAATAAAATTATTTGTTCAGGCTCAAAGCAAACGGGCAAAAGAAAATGCAGCACTATTGAATACAAATTTTCTTCGCCTAAATTTCAAATTTTGCTGTTTATTTCCTCAAATAAATTGATTCATGTGTCTCAGAAAAAGGGGTTGTACTTCTTTACAAATGTTCTCAAAATTAAGGTGCGCAACTTGCATCAGGGGGTATGGAATTTAAGTAAATACATGATTCAGTTTCTTGATTTTGAGCTGAAGAAGAATAATTGAGGCCCTTCATGAAAAAGAAAAAACACATTGAGCGACGTTTCAAACATTTTGAAAGATTGATTTTCCCCCAAAGGTTTTTTGTGGATTTCTTTTTTTTTTTTTTAGTAGCTGAAGATTAGTGTTTTGAAGTACCTGAAAAATTGGAATGGAAATGGGGTTTGGCTTGATTTCAAGGGATTTAATTTTTAAATGGCCGTCTTCGTCTTACGTAGGAATACCAGTCATTATGGGAGATGTGATTCAGTGATTTTATACTCAGAGATTAACCCCATTTCAAGAGTCCTGATTTTTCATGATCCACCAACAAATTTCTGTTGTTGAACAGATGCTGTTCATGCATCAGATCCTAATTTTTTAATGTTGCTATAGAATAGAATCGTTGCTATAGAATATGTAAGAAAACCGTTTGTTTGCTTCTTCTCTGTGCATTCATCAATGATCATATTTATTCACTGCATCTTGCAGAGTGTATTGGAGGTGCTATTGGAGCAATTGTGCCCGGAGTTGACAAGCAACGGATCATTACCATGAGAAATGAAACAAAGAGGATTCCACGCAGAAACGAAACATTGTGACACGACATGATACCGTGATTTGATGTGCAATTTATTGTTTGATCTCTAGTTTCTGGCATCAGTATTCAGTGTACGCTTCATTCAGTATAATGAATGTGTGTTGCTATTTTGCATTCTGTTGCTCCAGTGTACGACTTCATTGTTTCCTTGTGCTCATGCGTAACGTATCTTTATTTTATTTTTTTCAGGGTGCGGGAAATGGTCGATTTTCTGGGTTCAAGTGCGTTTCTTTTCTGTTGAGTTGTTTTCCAAGTGATTTGGAGCTTGTTGGTGCAGTGAGGGCAAAATGGAGGAGTACGCACGGGAGCCGTGGTTAGTGAATCTCCAATTCCATCTTGAACGCGGATTTATGTCTTTGAAAATTTGATGTTCCCCACATAATGCTCCAGTAGAAGCCCCTGTGACAGTCACTTTCAAAATTCTCCTCAGCTCCCGGAAATAACAGAATATTCCACCACATTAGTATTCGATTTCTTCATGTACATCTCTAAAATTGAGACTGGGTCCAAAGAAGCGCTAAAACTCGTTGTAAACAGAGTACTGAATAAAAAAAAGCAGATATTCATTTTATACGAATGATACTCGTGCGTGTTTTGTAAAATGTAAAAAAAAATTGAATATTAATTATTGAGATCAGCTGTTATTTGGCTGCGTCTCCTGTGGAGCAAAGAGTTTAAGAGACTGAATATTTAGTGCATGTGCACGATTAATCGAATTTTAATGAATCATTCGAAATGAACATATTCTGCTCAGAGCTTGATAGAAAAAAAAAAGAATTCAAAATGCTCATTGTCATATCGTTACACCGCATTTCTGAAGGGACCCTGGAATAATTCGTTGATATCATGTTCAACTTTTCATTCTAGTCCGTGGCGTATTGTGGACGATTGCGGCGGTGCCTTCGCCATGGGGGCTATTGGCGGAAGTGTTTTCCAAATCTTCCGTGGATTCAGGAACGCCCCCAGTGTGAGTACTGCACATTTAAAGACTAGTTGGTGAGTGGAATCTATCAGTCACTTACCATCATGGAAGATTAGGACGGTGATGTGACGAAACTATCGATTTTCACTCGTGTCTATAACTCATTTCACCAAAGTTCAAGTTTGTATAATTTTTATTTGAAGCTCGCGTTTAATCTTGAAAATGATGGAGCAACTTGAGAGAGAAGTAGTGGTAACTGTATTGTTCTTGATATTTAACTGGATGTCCCCTTCCCGGGAAATCAAAGTTTCGCACTGTACTTGAGATTTTACTCTTTGTAGTACTGTACTGTTTGATGGAGATTCGCAGCTTCATTCTGAAATTTAATCGATTATTTATTTTACAGGGCATGAATCGTCGCCTATTGGGGAGTCTGCTGGCGGTGAAAGAACGTGCACCGATCATAGGCGGGAGCTTTGCCATTTGGGGAGGAATGTTCACAACTCTGGATTGTTCCCTAGCACACTTACGAGGAAAGGAAGATCCCTGGAACTCAATCATGAGTGGCGCAGCCACCGGAGGCATCCTAGCGGCCCGAAGTGAGTGTGCTACTGTACTTCGAATTACAGTAGATTACTGTAATTACGTGGCGCAATTTTATTTTCATTCGTCTATTTCCTAGATGGGCCAGCGGCAATGGCAGGCAGTGC